GTTTTTTTTTTTTTCTTTTGTTTTGTTTGTTTCTTTTTCGTTGTTTTTTATATTTTTTCTCTTCGTCTGTCTGTGTGTGTGTGTGTGTGTGTGTGATTGTTTTTTTTTTCTTTTTTTTCTTTTCTTTTAAATCCAAGAAACAAGAAAAGAATGACACGCGCCGCATTCTCTCCTCTCCACCACCGCCACCACCACCATCTTCATACGATTTATTGTGTAAAATCAACAGTCTATCAAAAACACATGTATGTAAACTCACCGCAACTGTCAAAATTCTTTTTTTTTTTTTTTCGTTCTTTTCTCTCTCTCTCTCTCTCTCTGTTTGTGTGTGTGTGTGCCCTTCACCGTGATTGCCGGCTATTGCACCACCACCACCCCTCCCACACACACACACACACACACACAGACATGCATATAGACATGTATAGGCGTATGAAGGCATACGTGAACAACCCACAAGAAATACAAAATCAATGCGTTCAGTCAATAATGACGACATAAAAAAAAATAAATAAATAAATAAATAAATCATCATCATTTGTATGCATCGTGTGTCAAATTACATGCATAGCGGTAACACATACAAAGAAGAAGAAGAAGAAGAAGAAAAGACAGAAACAAACCAATATATTTATTTATTTATTTTTGTTAAATGTCCTCCAGTACCTAGCATAAAATACACTTACAACAATATTATGCACATAAACACACACAAATACATACATACATATATATATATATATACTCAGAATGATACTGTGAGGAAAAAAATAAATAAATAAATAAACTAAAATAAAATAAAAATGAAATAAAAATGAAATAAAATAAAAACTTTGCCGGTTTATACACACACACACACATATGTATATATATGTATATATATGAATGCATGTGTACACGTATGCTATGTCTACATGTATATAATATAATATAATATAATATATATGTGTGTACATGTATAGGTACAGGTATATATATATATATATGTCATTGTTTTCCCGCTCGGCATGCATTCTCATGACTGCTAACTGCGGATGCATTACATTTGAACATGTGGAGTAGGAGGGGGGGGGGG